TTCTACTAAAATATTTGAATGATATTTTCTATTAAAATCGTGTTAATTTTCTGTGGTGTTTATCACAGCAGCGTCTCCAGCGTCTCTGTACGTGGCCCCTCCCACCAGAGCAGCACAAATGAAGACTTGTCTCTTTCCAAACGCTCTTAAAGTCTTTATTTCTATAGCGCTTTTCACAGACATTATTTTGTCACAAAGACACTTTACAGAACATTATTCAACATTATTCATTCAACTTATTTATTCTTTATTCATGTATTTCTTATTCTGTAAAACACACTTTGTGTACGAATTGTGCTGTACAAATAAACTTGCTTTAACTAAACTACTGTTGTAGCCAGAGCTGCCCTGGGGCAGACTGACAGAAGCACAGCTGCTATGCCAATCGGTGCCAACGGTCCCTCCGACCACCAGCACCATCACACACACACACACACACGACCTTCATATCCAGCTCAAGGACACAGTCACAGCCACTAGGTTCATTGTGTTTAACTGACCTGGACCATCAACTGTTCTGGACCTGGAGCAGGTTTTGTGTTGATGGGGAAACTGGAGCCTGGAGGAAACTCATCCAGACACGAGGAGAAACATGCAAACTCCACACAGAAAGACGTGGGCGACCCGGGGATCAAACCCAGAACCTTCTTGCGGTGAGGCATGAGTGCTAAACACTCAGGCACCGTGTCACCAAGGACGATCGTTTTGACTGTCGACCGTGACCCTCATCAGAAAAATGTCCAACATGAGGCGGCACGTGGCAGAGTGGCCACAGCCAAGAAGGTTCTGGGTTTGATCCCCGGGTCGCCCAGGGTCTTTCTGTGTGGAGTTTGCATGTTTCTCCCTGTGTCTGGTTTCCTGTTTCCCCCATCAACACAAAACATGCTCCAGGTCCAGACAGTTGATGGTCAAGGTCAGTTAAACACAATCAATCAATGAACCTGCCCAGGGACGACAGGTGGAAATTAGCTCTGATGTTACAACCCAATGCATCTCTCTGTCAAGGTTAATGAAAATTGTGCGCTGTCCCTGTCTCAAATAAAAAATAAATGAGAAAAGTGGAGCCGAGTGCAGGATTTTACAACAAAAATTGACTTATTCCTGTTTACAGACAAGTTCATGTTAAAACTTTGTGTTGAAATTGTATTTTTCTTAAAGTTTCAGGTTGTTCATAATATTATAATATTTTGTAAAAGAAAGAGTTCATCAATTAAAAAAGATTTCTGTAATAGATTTGTGTTTCTCTGCACAAATATTTGAACTTCTTGTTATTTTTGGGGTTTATATGACATGAGTTTTCTGATCCGGACACTTTGGATCAAAGACACGACCCCTGGAACAAAATAAGTTTGACACTTCTGATGTAGAAGATTTTGCTCGTATAATTTTAAGTGTTAAACCAACAGAAGCTCCTGCACAAGCCTCACGTCATCGATTGTGACTCTGACTGCGCTGTTCCTGCTAAATAAATAAATAAATAAATAAATATGTGTAAGTCATCCGTTAGTGATCAGCTGTGACGACTTTACATTAATAAGAACAGGGCGTCGAAACAAAATGTCTTTATTAAAAAAGGCGTGACAAAAGCAGCTGGATAAATAATGACTAATGTCAAATGTGTAAATGCAGCGTCCGTCTTTAAAACGCTGACATTTTACATTTTATTCTTCCATGAGTCACAGACAGAGTTGGGAAGGTGACTTTTCAAATGTAATCCCCTACAGATTACAGATTACACACAACAAAATGTAGTTTGTAACGGAATCCATTAAGTTACTTAAAGTGAGTAATGTAATCTGATTACTTTGGATTACTTGATTTGCTGTAGAGAAGCAAAGACGAAGATGGATTAGTCCTGGTTTAGACCTGGTTTAGATCTGGTTTAGATCTGGTTTTAAACCGGGTTTTAGACCTGTTTTAAACCTGGATTAGACCTGGTTTAGATCTGGTTTAGATCTGGTTTAGACCTGGTTTAGAACTAATTTAGACCTGGTTTTAGTCCTGGTTTAGATCTGGTTTAGACCTGGTTTAGATCTGGTTTAGACCTGATTTAGACCTGGTATAGACCTGGTTTAGACCTGGTTTTAAACCGGGTTTTAGACCTGTTTTAAACCTGGTTTAGTCCTGATTTAGATCTAGTTTAGTTTCTGGGAATGAGTGGAATTACCGAAAAAAAAAAGAAAAAAATGGGGATTTAGCCCGAAATGTGAAAACAGGAAAATCCCTCTGTGTAATCCATTTATTTCAACAAAGTAACTGTAATCCAATTACCACTCACTGAAACAGTAACTGTAACTGAATACAGTTACTCATCATTTGTACTCTGATTACTCTGGTACATGTAATCTGTTACTCCTCAACACTGGTCACAAACTGGTGAAGCGAAGACAAATTTCCACTTTGTTGGAAACCGTAAAGAAAAGTCCCACTGTCCTCACGCGGTCAAATACGTGAGAGGAGCTGGATTAAAAAAAAAAAAAAGAAAAGAATCAGATAAATCAGATGTTTTCCTGAGGCGGCAGGTGAGTTTTCCCTGAAGCCGCCTGTGTTTGCGCAGTATTTACAAGAATGTTACACCTGTAACCACGCAGCACCACGCCAAACCTGTTCTTCCAAAAAACGGCGCTGGCTTCTCCCCCCACGGCCTCCGCACGAGCCGATTCAGGCGAGACACTCCTTGGGATACGTCTTAATGAAATGACACAAGAACGTTTAAGCAGGTCACACAACAAAGAACAGGATGACGACGGGAAATACTGGCAAAAGAATCAATGAAAGTGGCTTAAAGTCCTGGAGAACGATCATAAAAACTCTATTTAATGTGCGTTTAAAGTTAATGAGGTTGTTGCTTTTTCCAGAATGATTCATGAATAAAACTCTGAACTGAACAGAGACACTTTTATTTAAGTTTTTTCTTTACTGTAAATACGACTTTAGAGTTTTATATTTTACTTCTTGAGTCCACGACATTTGAAAGATAAATCTAATCCTACTTCACTACATTTCTGAAGTTCATTTTGGAAGAGTTTTCCTTTTGTCCCACTTCAAACTTCCTGATGACGCAGAGACTCACAAGTGCAGAAGTGTCGACTCATGACAGAGACGAAGCTCTTTGGTGTTAAAGGATCAATTAGTCAGTTTGTTTTGATGATTTGAACTGTTGGTTTTTATCAAGACTCGGACTCATGTCTAACAAATAATAATTACTCTTGCTTTAGTTTTTTAGGTTGTACGACGGTGTGTAAGGGTCAGATACAAAAAAAAAAAAAAAGATGCTGGCGCTACGAGAATAAATTCGTAATTTTACTAGAATAAAGTTGTATTTTTACGAGAACAAAGTCTGAGGATAAAGTCGTAGTCAAAATAAAGTGGTGATATTAGGAGAAAATCGGCTGCTCAGAAAGTCTGGATGAATCTGAGGCTGGAGAATCTGGAGAATCTGGAGCATTTTGTAAAGGAGAAGAATCTGTGTATCATTCTGAACCAGGACTGAATCAGGTCCAGAACCAAACCAGAACTAAGACCAGGATTGAGACCAGGACTGAAAACGGTTTAGTCCTGGTTTAAGTCGGTGTTTCCGTGACCTTAAAATGCGATGTGGGACTATTGCGCCGCATACGGACTGCCAGGACTAAACCAGGACTAAACCAGGACTAAACCAGGACTTAACCAGGACTTAACCAGGACTAAACCAGGACTTAACCAGGACTAAACCGTTTTCAGTCCTGGTCTGGTCCCGGTCTCAATCCCGGTCTGGTCCCGGTATCACGGTCTGGTCCTGGTCTGGTCCCAGCTTCAGTTTTGGCTCAGTCCTGGTCTCAGTTCTGGTCTGATCCCGGTCTCAGTCTTGGTTCTGGTCTCAGTCCCGGTCTGGTCCTGGACCTGGTTTAGTCCTGGTTCAGTCCAGAAGCGCAAATAATGAGGAAAATTGTTTTTTTCATTTTCTTATTTTTGGTTTTATATTGAAAAACGAATGAACGAACGACACATGGATTAAGTTTTTTCTTCTGCCGCATTTTTCACGTTGACTTTGAGTTTATTACAACTTTATTCTCATAATATTACGACTTTATTTTGACCTCAACTTTATTCTCATAAAATTGCGACTTTATTCTCATAAAATTGCGACTTTATTTTTGTAAACTTACGACTTTATTTCTGTAAAATTATGACTTTATTTTCATAATATCATAACTTTAATGTCGAACTATTACGACTTTATTCTCGTAGCTCCAGCATTGTTTTTTTTGTTTTGTTTTTTTAATCTGACCCTTATACTCAATCGTAAGGTTAAAACAATTCCAAAACGTAAAAAAAACCAAAAACACTCTACACATTTGACCTGAAATCATTTGCGTAAATCTTTAAGGCTTTTGTTTCTAACCACGAGTGAACAGAATTACAAAAAAATTACACCACAGACACTTTTTTCTTTTGCTGTATTTTTTTTCATATAAAAGAGGCAAGATGTGACTCACACACGAACAATGCAAAGTGAAATAACAGGTATATGCTTTGAAATGATGCATAGAACAATAACATTGTTTTGAACACACACGGGTACATTTTGATGAAAAGTTCATCGCCGACCTGAAGCTGTGGTTACACCGTACGGTAAAAGAAATGTCCTCTGAGTTGATGGTTTGGAGAGAAATGTGTGACAAATGTGTTTAGTCGTGAAACGAACAGGAACCAGAAAAAAGATCAACGCCTTGGATCCTTCCATTTGTTTGGGATCGAAAGACACTGCTGGGTCTTAATTGGAGAAATGATAATTGCGTTAAAAAGCAGCAAGAGTAGCCTGAAAATACAAAAATGTAAAAAAAAAAAAAAAAAGAAAAATAATAATAATAATAATACAATGAAATACATTATCCGACGCGAAGAGCCGAGTAATGGATTCTCATATAACACTATCATATTAAATCTATTTACAGGAAATATTAATACAATTTTGGGAATATTTACAGAATCTCTGAAAGTGAAATTGTGAAGCCGCTCTTGCGTTTTTGTGCGCGCGGCTCTTCACAGCTTCGAGAGTCTCTGATTGGACAGTGCTTTTGACGCGTGGCGGCTGTGATTGGTCGGTTCTTCACGGCGACCAAAAGCGTCGGTCGTTCTCATACTTCCACCAGAGTGAGCTGGATCTGCCCCGCCGCCTCCGACATCTCCACCAGGAACGCAGACTGGTTGGTGTAGTGTTCCACGATGGTGTCGTCCATGTTCACAAAAATACTGAAACGGAAACAGAGAAAGAAAAGATGAATTAGTCTTAACTCAGGAGTGTCCAGACGGGCCACATGTGTAAAGACGGATGAGGCAGCGGCTGATCGAGGCTGAACACTGGGTTTAACACGTTAGAATGAACCTCAGACTTTATTCATGCTAAGATCCTTAAAATCATGCACTAAATATTAAATATCAGCTTTATCAAGGCATTTGACACTTGACATTTTCAAAAAACTTGCAGTAAAAAGTTAATTTCTAATTGATGCAAGTTAATTTGGGCCAACTCCCCTGAAAGTCTGAGGGCCAAGAAAAGTTTGTCTGAGGGCCGCATTTGGCCCACGGGCCATAATTTGGACATGCCTCTCTCACTCTTCTTGTAACTCACCCTTATGTAACGGATAATACTCCCCACAACTGTATAACTCACCTTCATGTAACATATAATACTCCCTACAACTCACGATACCATATTTATTGTGATATTTTGGTAGATACGACACATTTCTACTCTTAAAAGACCTTGACAAGATTTCGGTGTGAATTATTTCCGTCATAATCCCAAGAATTCAAGTCAAAAACATGTTTCTTCATGTTGTCTGTGCTGAAATGCATCATGGGAAATGTAGTTTACAATGTTTAGAAGCTGTTACTGCTATGAAACCATGAATTTAAAGCAAAGAAACTTATTACTGTGAGACTTTTGACAATATTTCGGTTACTGTTACATCCCTACTTTATTTTTACTTGTACATTTACATTTATATAATAATTATGTCTTATTTGACACTTGCCTCTTGCTCTTTTTTGCAGTTTATTTAGAATTTACCATTTAAATTTTTGCTCTATATTGCGATGTGTGAGCGAATGTGTCCAAATAAATTCCCTTGTGGATCAATAAAGTTTGTCTAAGTCTAAAAATATCAAAATATCCTGATATCGTATCGTCAAAAGTCACAATATATAATGAATTATAAGTTTCCCATTGAATACATTTCCCATGATGCATTTCAGCGCAGACAACATGAAGAATTTTTGGGATTAAGATGGAAATAATTCGCACTAAATTCTTTTCAAGGTATTTTAAAAGCAAAAACGTGTCCTAAATATCGTACCGAGAAATTTGCACATCGCTTACAAAAACACGCAAAAAGCAATAATGTAGTTGGACGACCTAACGACGATGTCTGAGGTTAGATTATACATTTAATAGTCAAAATTCTAACATAAACTAAAGCTTGTAATTACCGGGAAAAAAATGTCACCCGGGCGCTGAGGAATTTTTTACGTCAACCACAAAACGGTGGCGGTTAAAAAAAAGCAAAGAAGCTTCTGCCGTTGGTTATAAATCAGGGCACTTGTTCCGCCTCCCCGCCCCGACCTGGATGCTTTAACCTTTAATGACAGAACGCCTGCAGGGACACGCTTGATTGACGAGCTAAGCGGAGGTGCAGGGAGGAAACTAAGCAAACCGGAGGGAATGTCGCCCGACCTGTTCCCTAAGCTGGGCCTTTAATGCCGCTGGCGAGAAGGAAAATCACCCGGAGCCTTTTCAACCTCGTCGAAACGCCACTCGGAAGAACCGTTTAAGCGTCATTTGCGTCTTCGAGAAAGGCTCTTTTGGCAAACTTACGCAACTAAACTAAAAAAAAAAAAAAAAAAAAAACGACGAAAAGGAAGTCGCCGATTTAAGGTTTAAACGTCCGATTCATCCTTTATCCTCCCGACACCGACCAAACTAAACTACGGCTTTCAGAAACATAATAAGCCATGAGTCACGCCGTTTGGTAGTTACAAAAACAAAACAAACAAAATAAAAATCTTTTCACCGTCGCGAGTCGCAGTTAGACACGCGGCAATTAGTGCATTCCTGCGGTGCAGCGAGGGAACCCACCGGCCCGGTTTGTCCGGCTGCGTTTCCTTAAAGGCAAGACTAAAAAAGAGGCGAAAACCTGCTTGCACGCTATCGCCGAGATCTAAAGGACACGTACTCCTCCAGACACTTACCCCCGTTTGCACTTCTTGAAGATTTTCCCAATGGTGTCCGCTTGCATGCCGTACTTCTGTGAAAGCTGAAACGGAAGAGAAAATGAACGTGTGAAGGTTAAAGTAATATGAATTTGGATTTATTTATTTGGAGAAAAAGCCCCATGAGACACAGAGTTCAGAGATAATCGCAACAAGATGAACAACAAAAATTCAACAAAATGCTCCAAAACAATGACATGGGTTCTGTAAATATTGAACCAGAGCATTTTTAAAAGAAGGGACAGAAGTTAATGCACGAATCAGTGAAGGAAGATCGTTCCAATCAGAAGGAGCTCGGGGTCCAGTCAAGTGTTAACGGAGGAAACAGGGTCAGATTTTTGACATTCAAATGTCTCTTATTCAGAAACTAGAGGAACTATTGAAATAAGTAAAGTATCAGAATGTAGGAAAGAGTTACACTCCAACAGGGTCAAGTTAAACCTGTGAGATTCTTTCAAGTTCAAGACAAAAAAATAAAAAACTCATGTCGGTAACGGAGGGAATGAAATATGCAGCACTTTTTGGTCAATAAATCCAAACAGTGATAACTCTTGGTTCTCACTTCCATATCCTTAACAAACTGGTTTGAATATTTGCTTCATATAGTTTTCTACCATATGGTACAAGATTAGGTTGAAAAACCTCTGACTTTTTGACTCATGAGATTTTTTATTAAGAAAGTTCATGGTAACGGAGGGAAAAGTAACGGAGGGAAAATTGTACAAACAAGTAGAAGGTGCAGGATTTTACATCATTTGTTGCTTTTTTCTTCCAAATACTTTAATATTACTTCAAAATGAAAGGAAACTATTTCTATAAAATAAAAATATGTCAGTCCTTCCAAGAACATTTTTATCATTTTAAATACTTTTTTTTTTTTTTTTTTTAATCATGTCCCTTCATCAACAGTTCAAAGATGGAATAACACAAGATATGATGAAATACAAACATTTATTTACATGATTTTCAGGTCTTTGAAATTTGGGAAATAATTTTTGTTCCATGTTTCATTCATGGTCTGTTTAAAACATATGGAACTTTAGAACCAAAAATGGTCCAGAAAAAAGGTCAACAGTTTGATAAACTCGAGTACATATGTATCTGTTCAATACTGTTTTATATCAGATGAATTAACTTGAATTTTTGGCTTTGTTGTTTACTTCTGCTTGAACGGGCACATTTATATTTAAACGAGTGTTTTCCCGTTTGTTTTTTGACTCTTGGGACGATAAAAAATATCTGATCAGTGACGTGAACTGGAAGAGGATCTGAATGGAATTAAATCCTGTTTGAGATCTTCAGGAGAACTGAGATTAATGCGTTTAAAGAGAAATAATGAGCAGTGAAGTTGACGTCGGGAGGAACAGTTGGTGGAACATCGTACAGCGGTGAGTTCTGAAGGGACAACGGACAATGAACCTGCTCAGACTCTTACAGATAAACTTTGAGCAGTTGGAGGATAGAAGTTGTAGTATTTTGATAAATAATTTCACAGTCATCTAAAATGGGAAGAAGTAGTTGTGAGATCATCTTTTTTTAAACTAAAAAGCTAAAACAATTGATAACTGGATCATCGGCGTAGGAAAGTTGGAGGTCATTAATAAAAATAGAAAATAAAAGGGGACCCAATGCGGAACCTTGAGGAACACCTCTCTGTCAGCGGTGATGAAGATATGAATTGAACCAAAGGAGAGCGGAGTAACTAAAGTAAAGTAAATTAAAGTAAAGTAAAGTAAACACGACGAAAGAAACTGTAAACTGGACTTACAGCTTCTTTGAGTCCGGCCAGGGTCGGGGCGCTGAGCATGAGCGCGTCGAAGATCTCCTCGGTGTTTGTCCTTATGTAGAGAAGAACTGTCGTGAAAGAAACGAGAAAGAAAACATGAGAAAAAAAATAATGTTTTAAGAGAATCCATCTTGTGTCATAAGTTAATAAGAAAACGGAAAAAAAACAACTATTTTCTTCTTTATTTGTCTCCAAAACCAAAATGAAAAAACAGATAAAGATGAGTTTTTTCAGTTTTTGATTTTATGTTTAAATGAAAAATGGAAAAAACAGACTAAACCAGGACTGGGACCGGGACTGGGACCAGGACCAGGACTGAGACCAGACCAGAACTAAGAACCAGGACTGAGACGGGGACTGAGACTGGGACCAGAGCAGACTAAGACCAGGACTTAGACGGGGACTGAGACGGGGACTGAGACCGGAACCAGACCGAACCAGACCAGAACAAAGAGCAGGACTGATGGGGACTGAGACCAGGATTGAGACCAAGACTGAGACGGGGACTGAGACTGGGACCAAACTCGGACCAGACCAGAAACAGACTGGGACCAGACCAGAACTAAGACCAGGACTGAGATGGAGACTGAGACTGAGACCAGACTGGGACCAGACCAGGACTGAGACCAGAAATGAGACCACTTTAGTCCTGGTTTAGTCCGTTATCCATTTTTTTCCATTTTTCATTTAAACACAAAACCAAAAACTGAAAAAAACAAATCATTATCTGTTTTTTTTTATTTTATTTTTTTTTCAGTTTTGGAGACAAATAATGAAGAAAATGTATTTATTTTATTTTTTTAAATTTTCTTAATTTTGGTTTTATTTTGAAAAACGACACACACATTTAAGACCCAAACAATAATATTTGTACCTCGCTGTGGATCTTCTTGTCGGGGGAGTTTGCTCGGAGGGGAGCTGCTTTCTTCTCGATCTGGGTAAAGCCTCTTCAGAGTTCCCCTAAAATTAGACAAAAAGTTCAGTTAGAAAATTAGGTCACGGCCTTTTTGACGATATTTTACACCGGTCAAAAGTTTCAAAAGTTTTAGAAAACCAAACTTTTTCCATTTTTTTTTTAACTGTTTATTGTCATCGCGCTCTGAAACGAAAGCACGGAACAAAAAAGCAATTTCATTTCAAAAAACTAAATCATGGAATCAATTTATAGACTGTGGATGTGCAAAAATATCGAAATATCGAAGGTGTACAGTATCGATATCATGGGCTGCTGTATCGATATATCACCAAGAGAATTTTTTGGTTTATTTTACCAAATTATTTTGTTACAGCTACAGTTTTGTGGCTTGTTCAGAGTAAAAAGTGATATCTAGGTTAATTAAAATGACTTAAATTAAGAACGTTTTACTTTATTTGAGTCGATTTTACAGATGGAATAAATGTGTTTTTCTTAATTCAAGCAACGTTCAATCTCATTTTTTATTTTAAACGTTAAAGGTTGTTGTTTTTCTTATTTTAACCACAAAAATTCTTATTCCGCTGAAAGATATTTTTACTTATCAAGTGAAATTTACTCAAAACATTATGAAACTTTCTTAATTCAAGTCATTTTAACTTGGTTAGATTAGATTTTTTTGTGATTTATGCGACATATTTGACATTTTCGGTGTATTGATGATTAAAATGTTTGTGTTTCATATTAACTTTGCGCAAGAAGTGGTTTAACAAAGACTTTTAGTGTCAGAGCCATGATTTTTAGACTTTATTTTTTTTACTGAACTGTAAATTGATTTGAAATATATTGTATCTAATCGAAAGTTCACTGTATCGAGATATGTGTATCGCATCGGCAGCTTCTCAACGATACTAAATCAAAATGTATTTTAAACTTCTTACTGATGAAAGTGTCGAACTTTTGCAGATATAACAGCTGAACACTCGTGGCTCGTTTTTTTTTTTTTAAGACAGAAATCAAATATTGTTCAAAAAGTTCTTCCGAAGTCTGTTGCAGAAGTTCTCGTAAACGTGGCACTTGACGGTTGCTTCACTCTTCTGTCCGGTTCAAAAAAACGACCAAATATTTTATCGGAAATTTTGAAGAGACGGGACACTCTTTTGCTTTTAAAAGACCTTGACGAGATTTTGGTGCGAATTATTTCCTGTCGTAATCCTGAAGAATTCAAGTAAAAAACATATTTCTTCATGTTGTCTGCGCTGAAATGCATCATGGGAAATGTAGTGTCCCATGTTTATAAGCCGTTCCTTCTATAAAACCATGATTTTAAGCAAAGAAACGATACGATATTTCGATTATTGTTACGTCTCAACCACCTACTCGTCGAAACGCGGAATAAAAAGCGAAGACTATACGATATCACAATATTTCGGTTACTGTTACATCCGTACCACCAATCGAATTCCAGACACTTTTGCATCGCCCTATGCACGTAGATTTCCTCCCGAAAACGCTCGTCGAAATGCGGAAAACTTTTGTGTCTTCTGTCCAGACGTAGCCAAAGTCTGGAGTCTGTTCTGCCACTCCACGTTTTCAAACTTTATCATCTTGTTCTTTTTTTTTTTTTTTTTTTTTGAGGTCATTTTGTCAGAGCTCGGACTTGACAAGATTTTGGTGCGGATTATTTCCGTCGTTATCTGAAGAATTCAAGTAAAAAACATGTTTTTTCATGTTGTCTGCGCTGAAATGAATCATGGAATAAGTATTTTTTGATGTTTATAAGCTGTTCTTTCTATAAAACCATGAATTTAAGCAAAGAAACTTATTATTGTGAGACTTTTGACGATACGATATCACGATATTTAGATTATTCTTACATCCCTGCCATCTATCGAATTCCAGACACTTTTGCGTCACCGTATGTACACAGATTTCCTGCCAAAAACACTCATCGAAATGCAGAATAAAAAGCGAAGACGTGGCGAAACTTTTGTGTCTTCTGTCCAAACCAAAGTGACCAAAGTCTGGAGTCCGTGTTGGACACTCCACCTTTTCAAACTTTACCATCCTTTTTTTTTTTGAGGTCCTTTTGTCAGAGCTCGGACTTTTGTTTTGTATCTTAACGGGACACTTTTACATTTAAAAGACCTTGACAAGATTTTAGTGTGAATTAATTCCGTCATAATCCAAAGAATTCAAGTAAAAAACATATTTCTTCATGTTGTCTGCGCTGAAATGCATCATGGGAAATGTAGTTTCCGATGTTTATGAGCCGTTCCTACTAAAGAACACAGGATTTAAGCAAAGGAACTTGTGATTCGTTATATATTGTGGCAGCCCACGATATTATTTTGAGACTTTTGATGATACTTTTGCGTCGCCGTATGCACGCAGATTTCCTAAACGCGGAATAAAAAGCGAAGACGCGACGACACTTTTGCGTCTTCTGTCCAGACGTAGCCAAAGTCTGGAGTCTGTTCTGGACACTCCACGTTTTCAAACTTTATCATCTTGTTCTTTTTTTTTTTTTGAGGTCATTTTGTCAGAGCTCGGACTTGACAAGATTTTGGCGCGAATTATTTCCTTCGTAATCCGAAGAATTCAAATAAAAAACATATTTCTTCATGTTGTCTGCGCTGAAATGCATCATGGGAGATGTAGTTTCTGATGTTTATAAGCCGTTCCTATTATAAAACCATGATTTTTTTTTTTTTTTTTTTTTTTGAGGTCGTTTTGTCAGAGCTTGGACTTTTGTTTTCTAACTTTTATCATTTTTTTTTCACCTCTGTCTGTTCCGTTCTTACTTTTCTAACAATTCCAAGCTCTTCTTTGGACTTGCTCGACCTGAATCGCGATAAACAAGTGGAAAAACGCGTGAGGTGTTCTGAAACTTTTGGCCGGGAGTGTCGGTGCAGGTGCAGGTGAAGGTGCAGGAGTTCCAGCTCTTACCTTTCGCTTTCTTCCAGAGGAGTGGCCTAGAAACAGACAAAGATGAAAAGTGAGATTAGAGCTGGAAACGAAGCATTGAGCAACCGCATTATCAGACCGGGGTTTGGAGTCCGTGTTGTTATCACAGACACTTCTGCATTTCCCAGAACTACTCACAGACGCCAAGATACTAGTTTGAGTTTTTATTTTTTTATGAAAGACGCTCGGCTCCTCTACGAGATTCAGAACATCAGTCCTGACGGTTCGTTTACTGAGATAAAGAACGGCATTGATTTAAAGATTCTGATCGGATTCCAGCCAAGACGAGGTGATCTGTGTGTTATTTGTGCAGGAGTTTTTCAAAATAAAACCAAAAATAGGAAAATGAAAAAAAACAAAACAACGATTTTCTTCATTATTTGTCTCCAAAACTAAAATGAAAAAACAGATAATGATTCGTTTTTTCAGTTTTTGATTTTGTGTTTAAATGAAAAATGGAAAAAACGGATAATGGACTGAACCAGGACTAAGACTGGGACCAGACCAGGACCAGACTGGGAACAAACTGGGACAGAGATCAAGGCCAGTCCAGAACTGAGACTGGGACCAGATTGGGACTGAGCCAAGGACTCGACCAGAACTGAGACCAGGACTGAGACCGGTACCAGACCAGGATCAGACCGGGACTAAGACCAAGACTGGGATGGGGACTGAGACTGGGACCAGACTGGGACAAGACAGGGACTAAGATCTGAAATGAGAGTGGGACTAAGACTGGGACCAGACTAGGACTGAGACAGGGACCAGACTGTGACCAGACTAGAACTAAGACAAGGACTGAGACGGGGACTGAGACGGGGACTGAGACCGGGACTGAGACCGGGACTGAGACTGGGACCAGACCGGGACCAGACCAGAACTAACAAGAGGACTGAGATGGGGACTGAGACCAGGACCAAACTGGGACTGAGACCAGTTTAGTCCTGGTTTAGTCCTGGTTCAGTCTTGGTTCAGTCCTGGTTCAGTCCTGGTTCAGTTTTGGTTCAGTCCTGGTTCAGTCTTTGTTTAGTCCTGGTTTAATCCTGGTTCAGTCCATTATCAGTTTTCCCCATTTTTCATCCAAACACAAAATCAAAAACTGAAAAAACAAATCATTATCTGTTTTGTTTTTGTTTTTTTTTTTCATTTTTATTTTGGAGACCGTTGTTCTTTCTGTTTCTTATTTTTCCTTTTATTTTGAAAAACAAACGAACGAACCAACCAACGACGCTGGGATTCAAGACGCACCATCCATTCCGTTTGGTCCATTCTTTTATGACAATCGTGGGAAAACTGACCTGCCCCGACACAACTGTTTGCACAAGACTTAAGCGCCATAGTCCCAGCGAGCGCGGCAGGTGTTTCCGTAAGCCCCTAGAACTTCACCCGAGCGCACGCGGAGCTGTAGCGGCTTGTACTCCGGGCGCCCAGTTTCGACTCAAGACTTTTTCTTTTTTTTTTCTTTCGCCTCGCTTCTGCCTTCGCCTTCCCCTTTTCCCTGACACATACTTTCCCACACTCGGTTTTTTCGGTTTTCCCCGTCCGGAATCCCACCGCCTGCAGCTGAAAAAAGGAAAAAAAGAAAAAAGAAAAAAAACTCACAGATCCTCGCATGCTGGAGAGGTGCGTCTCCGGGATGAACAGGACCGGAACCGTCACATGATCCTCGACGCTCTGGAAGAACGTGCACTCGCCGGAGCCGCTCGTTTGGCTCTTGTTTGCTGAAAATAAAAAAATACAAACAATTTATTTAAGTACAAATATGACGTAATATATAAAAAATTATATGTAGACCAACTTTTAATACTGTAAACAGTGTCGGGAAGGTGACTTTTAAAATGTAATCCCCTACAGATTACAGATTACACACACCAAAATGTAGTTTGTAACGGAATCCATTAAATTATTTACAGTGAGTAATGTAATCTGATTACTTTGGATTATTTGTATTGTTGTAGAGAAACAAAGACGAGGAAATCTTCACATAAGAAGTTTTGTCTGATAAAAGAAAATAAAAAGTCCAGATTTACTGAACCAAATTAAAAATATTATTGATAGAAGAAGAAGAAACACGTCCACACAGCAGGATTTAGTCCAGTTAAATCCTGTTTTAGACCTGGTTTAGTTCTGGATTAGTCCTGGTTTAGACTGGTTTAGAACCTGGTTTTAGACCTGGTTTTAGTCTTTAGACTGGTTTAGACTGGTTTACCTGGTTTAGACCTGGTTTAGACCTGGTTTTAGACCTGGTTTAAGTTCTGGATTAGTCCTGGTTTAGACCTGGTTTAGACTGGTTTAGACCTGGTTTAGACCTGGTTTTAGTCCTGGTTTAGACCTGGTTTAGTCTGGTTTAGTCTGGTTTAGACCTGGTTTAGACTGGTTTAGACCTGGTTTAGACCTGGTTTAGACCTGGTTTAGACCTGGTTTAGACCTGGTTTAGACCTGGTTTAGTCTGGTTTAGTCCTTGTGTAGTCCTTGTTTAGACCTGGTTTAGTTCTGGTTTAGTCCTGGTTTAGTCCTGATTTAGTCCAGGTTAAGTCCAGGTTTTAGTCCTGGTTTAGACCTGGTTTAGTCCTGGTTTAGTCCTGGTTTAGACCTGGTTTAGACTGGTTTAGACCTGGTTTAGACCTGGTTTAGACCTGGTTTAGTCCTGGTTTAGACCTGGTTTAGACCTGGTTTAGACCTGGTTTAGTCCTTTGTGTAGTCCTTGTTTAGACCTGGTTTAGTTCTGGTTTAGTCCTGGTTTAGTCCTGGTTTAGTCCAGGTTAAGTCCAGGTTTTAGTCCTGGTTAATGCTGAAATTATGAAAAAAAAAAAAAAAAAAAACACTCACTGAAACAGTAACTGTAACTGAATACAGTTACTCATAATTTGTACTCTGATTACTCCGGTACATGTAATCTGTTACTCCCCAACACTGCCTGTAAATAATAATAATGGAAAAATACTTGAAATACTTTAACTAAGAATTGATTTAAACTAGATTTGAGTCTGTCAGTGCACTGGAAAAAACAATTCAAATGAATTAAATCAAGATAATTTTACTTGTTTCTAATCTGCATTTATGTAAAACCGACTCAAACTGTTGATGCACAAGTCATTTTTTCTTTGGGGATCAGTAAATACTTTTGGACAGTTTTTATCTTGGGAGAAAATCTACAATTAAACATAAAACCTTCTTGTATTGACTGATAACTTTACAGTTTTTTAAATACACTGAAAAAAAACAATGTCTAGGTAAATTAAAATTACTTAAATTCAGAATATTTGACTTTATTTGATTCGATTCAATTTGACAAGTCAAATTATCTACCAATCGAAAAAGAGTTTTTGTTTTAAGAGTTTTTTTTTCCGATTTTGTTTCTTACTTTAACCGCAAAAAGTTGTTATTTTTTCTTATTTTTTAAGTGTAGAAAGATGTATTTTCATATTTTAAGTACAAAAAGTCAAAAACAAAATCTAGTCAAGTTAATATTATGACAACTTGAATTATCTATTGATACACTAGAAAAAAAAACATGAAAATGACTTAAAGTCGATTCAACTTGACAAGTGAGAAACAAAATCGAAAAGTTGCTTGAATTAATAAAAACTTTGGTGAATAATTTGACTTGTCAAGTTGAATCGACTCAAATAATGTTCAAAGTTCTTAATTTAAGTCATTTTTAACTTACTTAGATATTGGTTTTTTTTCTTATATTTGAATTGAAACTGTAATTGTACTTTAATCAAGATAATAATATTTCATTCAAGCTGTTGTAAAAAGTTTCAGTCATGTTTTACGGAAGCCGAGAGGGTCACAACAAAACGGAAACGCCGCAACAACAAAAAGCCACAACCAACAAAAAGCCACAACACATTAAAAAAAGCCACAACAGAAATGACAGCGGGACTCCATTTCCATTTCCGTTGTGACTTTTTTTGGTGTGTTGTGGCTTTTTTTTGGTTTGTTGTGGCTTTTTAATGTGTTGTGGCATTTGCGTTTGTGTTGTGGCTTTTGTATTTGTTGCGGCGTTTGCATTAAAATAGAGTCCCCGCGGTCGTTTCCGTTGTGACTTTTTTTGGTGTGTTGTGGCTTTTTAACGTGTTGTGGCTTTTTGTTGTATTGTCGCATTTGTATTCGTTGCGACGTCTGCGTTTGTCGCGACGCCTCTCGGCTTCCGTCACGTTTTGCAGACGTAGAAAATCTCCCAAAATCATCTCCCGACTCACCGTTGGCGTCGACGCTCTTGCCCCTCCTCTTGGACCTCTTCCGTTCCTCGTCTCTCATCTTTCTCTCTGCGCCCTACAAACAAAACCGCCGGCGTTTAAACAAAACTCCAACGGCACCGGGTTCGGGTTATTTTGCACGATGCGTCTCGTCGTCGTACCTTATCGCAGAAGATTTTGACTTGGCAGGCGGCGCGGTGGATCAGGCGGTTCGTCCCCGAGCTGAAGTCGTAAGTGTCGATCTGCAGATTCAGAGGTTGGCCTTTGACGCCTTTCTGCGACGAGAAGTCCGTGCTGAGGGAGTTGATGCCGATGTAAACCTGCAGAAAGAAAAGAAACAAGAAAATCAGCCGGGAATCCTGTCACAACAACAAACTGAGAGTTAAATTTGACTCTCACAGAATCAGGTTTAAGAAGACGTTTGCAGAGAAAAGGAACTGAATCTATATCTGGACTTTTCTTTGGTTTCTGATTCTTCTTTATGGGCCCATTTCAGGACTTTTTTTTACCTTTCAAAAGATAAAATATTATTTAGTTTTACTCTGCTAAAGCTTTTCATTTAAATTTAAGTTTACATCAGGCATAACTTCACATACAAAAGTTAAAAAACAACATAAAAGGTACATTCATAGTCATAAACATCAACAACTGGAGTGTTAAAATCAACTCTCACAGAATCAATTTTAACATTTCCTCAAGTCTAATCTGTTCTGGAGTTAATTAACTTCTCCAAAAATGTTGAATTAACTTCAACCATTTCAACTCTGCCAAATAAGCCCAACTCAAACCCACATTTAACTTTCAAATACTTGAAATAACACTTTTTTGTGTTAAAAACAACCCTTATTTACTCTATAAACAACTATTTTACGCAGAAATCTGTGTAAAATGGACCAAAGTTCCTGTTTAACCCTGAAATCAAGAGTTATATTAACATTTTGAGAGTAAATGGATAACACTTTGAAGGGTTATCCTGATTTAACTAAACAACACACAGAGGTGTTTTATTTTTACACTTTATTTGAGTTAATTTAAGATTCTTCTCTGGTGAGAGTTTGAAGTGGTGGTGGGAGGAGCCAAATTAACACTAAAGAAAGTTAAATTAACACCAAGCGAAGTCGAATTAACACTAGGGGAAGCTGAAGTAATAATTATTATTTTTAGCCGTACGTAGATATTTGACTCAGACACCGGAGTAAAAAACTGTCGAAGCTCAGTTGGACAGAATTTAAACGTGTAGTTGGACTTTTTCTACCAAAGTTGCAAAAGAAGAAAGAAATTTACTACTTCTACATACAAATTATAAACTTACTGCAAACATTTTAAGCATTGCAGTTCTAAACCAGTCCTGGTTTAGTCCTGGTTTAGTCCTGTTTACCTTTAGACCTGGTTTAGTCCTGGTTTAGCTGGTTTAGTCCTGGTTTAGTCCTGGTTTAGTCCTGGTTTAGACCTGGTTTAGTCCTGGTTTAGTCCTGGTTTAGTCCTGGTTTAGTCCTGGTTTAGACCTGGTTTAGTCCTGGTTTAGTCCTGGTTTAGTCCTGGTTTAGACCTGGTTTAGACCTGGTTTAGTCCTGGTTTAGATCTGGTTTAGACCTGGTTTAGTCCTGGTTTAGACCTGGTTTAGTCCTGTTTTTTGGTTTAGTCCTGGTTAGTCCTGGTTTAGACCTGGTTTAGTCCTGGTTTAGACCTGGTTTAGTCCTGGTTTAGTCCTGGTTTAGTCCTGGTTTAGTCCTGGTTTAGACCTGGTTTAGTCCTGGTTTAGTCCTGGTTTAGACCTGGTTTCTGGTTTAGTCCTGGTTTAGTCCTGGTTTAGTCCTGGTTTAGTCCTGGTTTAGTCCTGGTTTAGTCCTGGTTTAGTCCTGGTTTAGTCCTGGTTTAGACCTGGTTTAGTCCTGGTTTAGTCCTGGTTTAGTCCTGGTTTAGTCCTGGTTTAGACCTGGTTTAGTCCTGGTTTAGTCCTGGTTTAGTCCTTTCCCTCTCGCCTGTGTTTTTTTCTCGCCGGGTGCGTTGACACGAACCCCGGGGCCTTGTGCATATCTGACATTCCTCCGCTCCCTTTGTTTGCCACTCCTCTTACACCTTCCCAACGCGACGCACACTTCCCCAAAACACTTCACCAACACTGTGCCCGGTTTGACCCGAGTGTGAAGCGTCTGGGGTGAAGATCAGCTCTTCTAAGTCCGAGGTCTTGGTTCTCGACTGGAAAAAGGCGTCTTGTCTCCGGGTGGAGAGTCTCTGCCTCAAGTGGAGGAGTTCAAGTATCTCGGGGTTTTGTTCTGGAGTGAGGGGAGGACGGAGCGAGAGATTGACAGGTGGACAGGTGCAGCGTGAGATTGACAGGTGGACAGGTGCAGCGTGAGATTGACAGGTGGACAGGTGCAGCGTGAGATTGACAGGTGGACAGGTGCAGCGTGAGATTGACAGGTGGACAGGTGCAGCGTGAGATTGACAGGTGGACAGGTGCAGCGTGAGATTGACAGGTGGACAGGTGCAGCGTGAGATTGACAGGTGGACAGGTGCAGCGTCTGCAGTGATGCGGTCGCTGTATCGGTCGTTGTGGTGAAGAGGAGCTGAGCCCAAAGGTGAAGCTCTCGATTTACTGTCAGTCTTCGTTCCTCCTCTCACCTCTGGTCATGACTCTGGGTAATGACTGGAAGGACGAGATCAACGATACAAGCGAAATGAGTTTCCTCCGCAGGGCGTCTGGGCGTCTCCCTTAGAGACAGAGTGAGGAGCTCAGTCACACAGGAGGAGCTCGGAGTAGAGCCGCTGCTCCTCCACGTGGAGAGGAGCAGTTGAGGCTCGAGCATCTGTTCTGATGTCTCCTGGACGTGTCCCTCAGGAGGTGTTCATGTCCCACTGGGAGGAGGCCCCGGGGAAGAACCAGGACACACTGGAGCAGGAGAGTCAAACTCATTTTGTTCCGGGGTCGTGTCCAACCGACTTTGATCCCAAAGTGTCCGGATCAGAAAACTCATGTCATATAAACCCCAAAAATAACAATAAGTTCAAATATTTGTGCAGAGAAACACAAATCTATTACAGAAATCTTTTTTAACTGATGAACTCTTTCTTTTACAAAATATTATAATATTATGAACAACCTGAAACTTTAAGAAAAATGTAATTTCAACACAAAGTTTTAACATGAACTTGTTTGCAAATAGGAATAAGTCCATTTTTTTGGGAAAATCCTGCACTTGTCTCTTTCCAAACGCTCTTAAAGGACGATCATTTTGACTGTTGACCGTGACACCCTCATCAGAAAAATGTCCAACATGAGAAAAGTGGAGACAAGTCTTCATTTGTGCTGCTCTGGTGGGAGGGGCCACGTACAGAGACGCTGCTGTGATAAACACCACAGAAAATTAACAAGATTTTAATAGAAAATATAATTTAAATATAGGGCCACATTAAAGGTCTTGGAGGGCCGGATCTGGACCCCGGGCCTTATGTTTGACACCTGTGCGCTGGACTGGCCTGGGAACACCTCGGGGTCCCACTGGAGCAGCAGGAGGACGTGTCTGGGGTGAAGGAAGTCTGATAGTCTCTGTTTAGAAACTGGATGATGGACATTTACCTTGGCTTCCTCGTTTGGGTTCCACACGAAGGACAGAGCGTTGAAGGCCACCTCCTCCACATTACTGATGCTGTTGAAAACCTCTTTGTAATCGGCTGTTAACGACAAAAAAAAAAAAAAAACAAACACATGAAATGATCAAACTGTGTCGCTCATGTTTGTTTTATTTGATCGATAACGCCTCTTACCGATATCGATCACCCTCTGCCGGATCGTGGGCTGTCGCGCGTGCCAGTGATTCCAGAACTTCAGCTGCATCTCGGGCGTTTTGTCGTTTTCGAACACGGCCATCACCACGGTCTGGGAAAAGAAAAAACAAAAACAAAAAACGGGACACAGTCAGGATACGTGTTTCTGCGCGGAACTGCCCGTTTCCAAAGTCATTTGTCACTCCAAATCCGGCCATTCTCCTCACATTGTCCGCGGCGAACGGCTCTGTTTGTGTTTATTCTCGTCTCCAACAAAGGAAAGTCTTGTGTCGCGCCGCACCTCCACCTCCACCTCAACCTCCACCTCCACCTCCACCTCCACCCCCACCTCCTCCCCACCTGCACCTCGACCGGGACGTTCAGAAAAAATCGGTCACGGTTCTGTTGCTCTTTAGCCTGGATTAAACCAGCGGCTGGAATAAGGAGAAGTGCAGCGCGTTTTTTTACAACCAAAAAAAAAAAAAAAAAAAAAAAGGGAGAGAGGTTTAGACCTGGTTTAGACCTGGTTTAGACCTGGTTTAGACCTGGTTTAGACCTGGTTTAGACCTAGTTTAGTCCTGGTTGAGTCTTGGTTTTGATCTGGATTAGTCCTGGTTTAGTCCTGGTTTAGTCCTGGTTAGACCTGGTTTAGACCTGGTTTAGACCTGGTTTAGTCCTGGTTTAGTCCTGGTTCAGTTCTGGTTTAGTCCTGGTTTAGACCTGGTTTGACCTGTTTAGTCCTGGTTTAGTCCTGGTTTTAGTCCTGGTTTAGACCTGGTTTAGACCTGGTTTAGTAGTCCTGGTTTAGTCCTGGTTTTAGACCTGGTTTTAGTCCTGGTTTAGTCCTGGTTTAGTTCCTGGTTTAGTCCTGGTTTTAGACCTGGTTTGACCTGGTTTAGTCCTGGTTTAGTCCTGGTTTAGACCTGGACCTGGTTTAGACCTGGTTTAGTCCTGGTTTAGACCTGGTTTAGTCCTGGTTTTAGACCTGGTTTAGACCTGGTTTTAGTCCTGGTCCTGGTTTAGTCCTGGTTTAGTCCTGGTTTAGACCTGGTTTAGTCCTGGTTTAGTCCTGGTTTAGTCCTGGTTTAGTCCTGGTTTAGACCTGGTTTAGTCCTGGTTTTAGTTTAGTCCTGGTTAGTCCTGGTTTAGTCCTGGTTTAGACCTGGTTTAGTCCTGGTTTGACCTGGTTTAGTTTTCCTGGTTTAGTCCTGGTTTAGTCCTGGTTTAGTCCTGGTTTTGACCTGGTTTAGACCTGGTTTAGACCTGGTTTAGTCCTGGTTCTCTGGTTCTCTGGTTCTGTTGGTCTTGAGTCTGGATTTCACCAGCGTCAGGAGCGTTGAGTCGCACCTGCCCACATGTACCTGGAGTTAGTCAGCGACTCCTGGGAGGGTTTGGGAAGGGCCGGTTGACTGACAGACAAAGAATGTGTGAATTCATCAGGCGCAGGGATGAAACTCACCAACAATAGAAGGTGATTATTTATGTAACTGCAGGCAGGACCAAATGTAATGGAAAAAAAAAAAAACTCTGAGTTTTACGATGGAAATAAACGACTTGACGCTCTGACTCAGTGAATTATTACGCAGGGAATTTATAAATCTAGTTTCAAGAAGGTGTAAAATATTGAAGCAACTTTGAGACTTTGAGTCGTTCAAGACATTTTTTTTCTTTTTTCTTTCATTTATGTTTTTCTTAAAAAAAAAAAAAAAAAAAAAAAAAGGTTGATATTTTCAGATCCAGATCAGATTCCATTTCACACTTTTTTTTTTTTTTACAACAAGAAAAAAAAAGAGAGAGAGAGAGAGAGAGAGAGAGAGGTTTAGTCCTGGTTTAGTCCTGGTTTAGGCCTGGTTTAGACCTGGTTTAGACCTGGTTTAGTCCTGGTTTAGTCCTGGTTTAGTCCTGGTTTAGTCCTGGTTTAATCCTGGTTTAGACCGACCTGATTTAGACCTGGTTTAGTCCTGATTTAGTCCTGGTTTAGTCCTGGTTTAGACCTGGTTTAGACCGACCTGATTTAGTCCTGATTTAGTCCTGGTTTAGACCTGATTTAGACTTGGTTTAGACCTGGCTTTAGTCCTAGTTTAGTCCTGGTTTAGTCTGGTTTAGTCCTGGTTTAGACCTGGTTTAGACCTGGTTTAGACCTGGTTTAGACCTGGTTTAGTCCTGGTTTAGTCCTGGTTTAGTCCTACAATTTTTTTTTTCCATTTATGTTTTTATTAGAAAAGCTTCGCATCTTTACCTTCTGTGATATTTCAGAAAGATCAATTCCTTTTCAGACTTTTTCTTTTATTAAAAAAAAAAAAAAAAAGATCGAGAGAGAAAAAGACAAACAATCTAACAAACTAACAACAATGTGAGGTGACCAACTTGGAAGCATTTACCCGACATTTCAACCCTTCGAGAAACAAATTCGGTGAGTGTGGTGAAGTCAGGGGATCCCTTCAAACCATTTTAACCTACGGAAGCCTGAGAGGGTCACAACAAACACAAACGCCGCAACAAATACAAAAGCCACAACAAATACAAAAGCCACACACAACAAAAAAAGCCACAACAAACCAAAAAAAGCCACAACGGAAACAAGACTCTATTTTAATGCAAACGGCGCAACACAAACGCAAATGCCGCAACACATTAAAAAGCCACAACACATTAAAAAGCCACAACACATTAAAAAGCCACAACAGAAGTGACTGCGGGACTCTATTTTCCGACGGACCGATCAAGCGGCAAGTGAAGAAGAAGAACTACAACGTGAAAAGTAAAGGAACGGAGAAGTTGGAAACGTAAGTAAAAGTAATTTATTGTTTTATCGTTATTTGTTCCGTTGTGGCTTATTAATATGTTTTTAAAGTCCCGCGGTCATTTCCGTTGTGGCTTTTTTTGGTGTGTTTGTGGCTTTTTTTTGGTTTGTTGTGGCTTTTTTTTTGTGTGTGTGTTGTGGCTTTTTTTTTTTTTTTTTTTTTGGTGTGTTATGGCTTTTTTTTGTGTGTTGTTGCATTTGTATTTGTTGCGGTGTTTCCATGAAACTAGAGTCTCGTTTCCGTTGTGGCTTTTTTTTTGGTTTGTTGTGGCTTTTTTTTGGTGTGTTGTGGCTTTTTGTTGTGTTGTCTCATTTGTATTTGTTGCGGCGTTTGCGTTTGTTGTGTTTTTTGTTGTCGTTTGCGTTTGTTGTGTTTTTTGTTGTTGTTGTGTTGTCGTTTGCGTTTGTTGTGTTTGTTTTGTTGTTGTTGTGTTGTCGTTTGCGTTTGTTGTGTTTTTTGTTGTTGTTGTGTTGTCGTTTGTTGTGTTTTTTGTTGTTGTTGTGTTGTCGTTTGCGTTTGTTGTGTTTGTTTTGTTGTTGTTGTGTTGTCGTTTGCGTTTGTTGTGTTTTTTGTTGTTGTTGTGTTGTCGTTTGTTGTGTTTTTTGTTGTTGTTGTGTTGTCGTTTGCGTTTGTTGTGTTTGTTTTGTTGTCGTTTGCGTTTGTTGTGTTTGTTTTGTTGTCGTTTGCGTTTGTTGTGTTTGTTTTGTTTGTTGTTGTGTTGTCATTTGCGTTTGTTGTGTGTTTTGTTGTCGTTTGCATTTGTTGTGTTTTTTGTTGTTGTTGTGTTGTCGTTTGCGTTTGTTGTGTTTGTTTTGTTGTTGTTGTGTTGTCGTTTGCGTTTGTTGTGTTTTCTGTTGTTGTTGTGTGTTGTCGTTTGTTGTGTTTTTTGTTGTTGTTGTGTTGTCGTTTGCGTTTGTTGTGTTTGTTTTGTTGTCGTCGTGTTGTCGTTTGCGTTTGTTGTGTTTTCTGTTGTTGTTGTGTTGTCGTTTGTTGTGTTTTTTGTTGTTGTTGTGTTGTCGTTTGCGTTTGTTGTGTTTGTTTTGTTGTCGTTTGCGTTTGTTGTGTTTGTTTTGTTGTTGTTGTGTTGTCATTTGCGTTTGTTGTGTTTTTTGTTGTTGTGTTTGCGTTTGTTGTGTTGTTGTTGTGTTGTCGTTTGCTTTGGTGTGTTTGTTTTGTTGTTGTTGTGTTGTCGTTTGCGTTTGTTGCGTTTTGTTGTGTTGTCGTTTTGCGTTTGTTTGTTTGTTTGTTTTTGTTGTTTTTGTTGTCGTTTGCGTTTGTTGTGTTTTTTATTGTTGTTGTGTTGTCGTTTGCGTTTGTTTGTGTTTGTTTTGTTGTTGTTGTGTTTGTCGTTTGCGTTTGTTGTGTTTTTTGTTTGTTGTCGTGTTGTCGTTTGCGTTTGTTGTGTTTTTTTTGTGTTTTCTGTTGTTGTTGTGTTGTCGTTTGCGTTTGTTGTGTTTGTTTTGTTGTTGTTGTGTTGCGTTTGTTGTGTTTTTTTGTTGTGTTTCTGTTGTTGTTGTGTTGTCGTTTGCGTTTGTTGTGTTTCTGTTGTTGTCGTGTGTCGTTTGCGTTTGTTGTGTTTTCTGTTGTTGTCGTGTTGTTGTTTGCGTTTGTTTGTGTTTTTTGTTGTGTTGTCGTTTGCGTTTGTTGTGTTTGTTTTGTTGTTGTTGTGTTGTCGTTTGCTTTGGTGTGTTTGTTTTGTTGTTGTTGTGTTGTCGTTTGCGTTTGTTGTGTTTGTTTTGTTGTCGTTTGCGTTTGTTGTGTTTTGTTTGTTGTTGTTTTGTTGTCATTTTGCGTTTGTTGTTGTTTGTTGTCGTTGCATTTGTTTGTGTGTGTTTTTGTTGTTGTTGTGTTGTCGTTTGCGTTTGTTGTGTTTGTTTTGTTGTTGTTGTGTTGTCGTTTGCGTTTGTTGTTTTTGTTGTTGTTGTGTTGTCTGTTTGTTGTGTTTGTTTGTTGTTGTTGTGTTGTCGTTTGCGTTTGTTGTGTTTGTTTTGTTGTCGTCGTGTTGTCGTTTGCGTTTGTGTGGTTTTCTGTTGTTGTTGTGTTGTCGTTTGTTGTGTTTTTTTGTTGTTGTTGTGTTGTCGTTTGCGTTTGTTGTGTTTGTTTTGTTGTCGTTTGCGTTTGTTTGTGTTTTGTTTTGTTGTGTTGTGTTTGTCATTTGCGTTTGTTGTTTTTTGTTGTTGTGTTTTCGTTTGCGTTTGTGTGTTTGTTTTGTTGTTGTTGTGTTGTCGTTTGCGTTTTTGTTGTTTGTTGTGTTGTCGTTTGCGTTTGTTGTGTTGTTTTGTTGTTGTTTTGTTGTCGTTTGCGTTTGTTTGTGTTTTTTATTGTTGTTGTTGTGTTGTCGTTTGCGTTTTGTTGTGTTTGTTTTGTTGTTGTTGTGTTGTCGTTTGCGTTTGTTGTTGTTTTGTTGTTGTGTGTGTTGTCGTTGCGTTTGTTGTGTTTTTTTTGTGTTTCTGTTGTTGTTGTGTTGTCGTTTGCGTTTGTTGTGTTTGTTTTGTTGTTGCTTTGTTGTGTTTGCTGTTTGTTTGTTTTTTTTTGTTGTGTTTTTGTTTTGTGTGTTGTCGTTTGTCGTTTGTTGTGTCTGTTGTTGTGTGTTTGTTGTTTGTTTGTTTTTTGTTGTTGTCGTGTTGTTGTTTGCGTTTGTTGTTTTGTTGTTGTTCGTGTTGTCGTTTGCGTTTGTTGTGTTTGTTTTGTTGTTGTTGTGTTGTCGTTTGCTTTGTGTGTTTGTTTTGTTGTTGTTTGTTGTCGTTTGCTTTGTTGTGTTTGTTTTGTTGTTGTGTGTTTGCGTTTGCGTTTGTTGTGTTTGTTTTGTTGTCGTTTGCGTTTGTTGTGTTTGTTTTGTTGTTGTTTTGTTGCGTTTGCGTTTGTTGTTTGTTGTTGTTGTGTTGTCGTTTGCGTTGTTGTGTTTGTTTTGTTGTTTGTGTTGTTTGTGTTTGTTTGTTGTTTTGTTGTGTTGTCGTTTGCGTTTGTTGTGTTTGTTTTGTTGTCGTTTGCGTTTGTTGTGTTTGTTTGTTGTTGTCGTGTTGTCGTTTGCGTTTGTTGCGGCCCCTCTCGGCTTCCGTACAAACCGGATTTCCTTCCTTTCGTTGTTACCTTGACTTTGGAGGCGGTGATCCCGGAGGCGCGGTCGACTCCGTGCAGCGTGACGGGGTAGAACTGGCCTTTGTTCAGGTAAACCATGGGGAGTTCGCTGGATTTGTACGGCGCCGCGGCAGGAGCCCCCAGAGAAAACTGGAACTCGCTCCGGAAATGTTCCCGCGGCGAACCCATGTAGGAGCCGGAGTAAACCGGACTGGACTGCTCCTCCGGGAACGGGTCGGGGTACGGAAGAGGCTAAAGAAACAAAAAACAAAATAAATAAATAAAAAATAAATAAAAGTACAGTTACTTTGTTGAAATATATGGATTACATGGCGGGAATTTCCTGTTTTCACATTTTGGACTAAAACCATAACTAAACTAGGACTAAACCAAGACTAAACCAGAACTAAATCAGTACTAAAACCAGGACTAAACCAGCTCTAAACCTGGTCTAAACCAGGACTAAACTAGAACTAAAACCAGAACTAAAACCAGGACTAAACCAGGACTAAACTAGAACTAAAACCTGGACTAAACTAGAACTAAAACCAGGACTAAACCAGCTCTAAATCAGGACTAAACCAGGACTAAACCAGTACTAAAACCAGGACTAAACCAGCTCTAAACCTGGTCTAAACCAGGACTAAACTAGAACTAAAACCAGAACTAAAACCAGGACTAAACCAGGTCTAAACCAGCACTAAACCAGGACTAAACCAGGACTAAACTAGAACTAAAACCTGGACTAAACTAGAACTAAAACCAGGTCTAAACCAGGTCTAAACCAGCACTAAAACCAGGACTAAACCAGGTCTAAACCAGGACTAAATCCATTCTAAACCAGGACTAACTTAGAACTTAAACCAGAGCTAAAACCAGATCTAAAACCAGGACTAAATCCATTCTAAACCAGGACTAAACTAGAACTAAAACCAGGACTAAACCAGCTCTAAATCAGCACTAAACCAGGACTAAACCAGGACTAAACTAGAACTAAAACTAGAACTAAAACCAGGACTAAACTAGAACTAAAACCAGGACTAAACCAGGTGTAAACCAGATCTAAAACCAGGATTAGGAAGTTGTTTATGATGTACGTTTGGTGGATAATCATAAAAAAGGTGCTTGAGTCGACCTTGTTTTACCAGATAATCTGGCGGTGGTTCTTGTAAAAGGTAAAGTCCGGTCTGGACTCACCTCGGGGCTGGGGTCGGGGAAGGCGGAGTTCTCGGGCCACCGCTGCAGCAGCGAGTCGAAGATGTTGTTGAGCTCGTGTTTGTCGTAGGTGTCGGCCATGACGCTGGTGAGCGTGGTGTAGGTGTCGGCGGCGGCGGCGGTGTGCGGCGCGGACATGGGTTTGGAGCACAGCATGTCCTGGGAGTAACCGGCGGGAACGGCGTCCGACAGCATTTTCAACATCGTGGAAGACGCGTCCAGCCCGTTTTTGGCGAAAGGTGTTCTACAAAAGAGAGACAATAACTTTTACGCTTTTGTTAACGTTAGTATTAGTTTGTGCGACCATAAACAAAAAACTAAAATCCTTAAATTAAAAAAAAAAAAGTTCTCATTGTCGTTTATTTTGCACGATCATAAACGATGAACTTTTTCGCCTTCGTTAACGTGATTATTAGTTCGTACAACCATAAACGAAAACAAATAATCCTTACATTTTTAAATAAAGATTCTCATTGTAGTTTATTTCGCACAATCATAAACGATGAACTTTTTCGCTTTCGTTGACATTATTATTAGTTTGCGCGACCATAAACAAAAAACAAATAATCCTTACATTTTTCTTAAAATTCTCATTGTAGTTTATTTCACACGATCATAAATGATAAACAAATAATACTTACAATGAGAATAAAAAAAAAAAAAAAGTAGTAAAAAAAAAAAAAAAATTAAATAAATAAATAAAATAATTTATAATAAAATAATAATAATAATAATAATAATAATAATAAAATAAAAATGAGGAAGAAAGAAATTTCTGGTAGAGATTTTGGTTTGTAAAATATTCGGCGCAATGATTAATAATAATAATAATAATAATAATTTAACAGTCCAACACTGTAGAAACGTTTCAAAAAAACGTATAGACTGTTGTGTTTTGGAAAATACTGAGCTCTGGAGTTGGTGAATTGTGTGTTGAGTTTTGTTGTTTTAGTTTATATTTTGTTTATTTATTTGTACAGTGAGTGGAGCTGTGAACACAAACTTGTTGTTCATGCGTTTGGCGACTTTTGTTTCGTTTTTGTTTGCCACAAATGATCCAATAAAAAAAAAAAAAAAAAAAAAGAAAAAGCGAGACAATAAGATGAGTAATGCTGAAACGAGTCACGTAATCCTCCATCACTCCAAATAAACACGCTTCTGTCTGTTTAATGTGAGATTTTAGGTCAGAGCTTTTCATTCGTCTCGGGGAATATTTGGCCTCTAATCCCACCGTTTCTCTCGTCTTTGTTTGAGTTTCTCTGCGCACAATCCCCCGTCCGTTTGCACAACCGCCGGTAGCTGAGGGATGGAGTTTCTAACGACGCGGACACTCGACGAAGGAATGAAGGAGTGACAAGAAAGAGAAAGGACGGACGGGAAGAGAACTGGAACAATCAGCGAAGTGTTTGACTTGGGAATTAGTCACTAAGATCATTTATTTACACGTGCAGGGGAGCGGGGAGCTTCTATTTGCGAGGAAACAGTCGACCAATTTGGTTCTGTCACTTCATTTACGGATAAAATACAGGAAAAAGTTGGTCAGAACGCGTTGGTGTCGCTTCGTGGAGTAAAGAACTTTTAGTAAAATCAGTCGGAGAGTCTCGGGTTTGCACAATTTTACGTTTTTAAGAGCAACTTTTTGTTTAATTTTTAAGTTTCTTAAGCCTTCGCAGTACGGTTCAGGTTAAATTTGACTGTCTAAACCAAATTTTGAACTACAGATTTATTTAGAATGTTTAAATAAACTGTCCCGCATGAATAAATGTATGTTTCAGAGAGCAGGAAGAGCACGTTTTTCGTATTTTCTTGTTCTTCTTTTGCACGTTTGAGACAACCGTGGTGTCCCGAGCGAAAACAAACTTAGAACTTAAAACTTAATTGACTTTCTTCTCCTTCTGTGCACCATCACTGCTTCAAAAACCAAAAGGTGTCGATTTCTGGGAACGTGGGGCTTTTGGTGAATCTCAATATAGTGAACTCTGTTTGTGTTTGATTTGGGGATTAGTCTGATCACTTATTTACACGTGCAGGGGAGCGGGGAGCTTCTATTTGCGAGAAAACAGTCGACCAATTTGGTTCTGTCACTTCATTTATGGATAAAATACAGAAAAAAATTGGTCAAAACATGTTGGTGTCGCTTTGTGGAGTAAAGAACTTTCAACATATTCGGTCGGAGAGTCTCGGGTTTGCACACTTTTGCATTTTTAAGAGCAACTTTTTGTTTAACTTTTACATTTCTTAAGCCTTCGCAGTACGGTTCAGGTTAAATTGGACTGTCTAAACCAAATTTTGAACTACAGATTTATTTAGAGTGTTTAAATAAACTGTCCCGCATGAATAAATTTATGTTTCAGAGAGCAGGAAGAGCACGTTTTTCGTATTTTCTTGTTCTTCTTTTGCACGTTTGAGACAACCGTGGGGTCCAAACTTAGAAGAAAATTGACTTTCTGTTCCTTTTGTGCACCATCACCGCTTTGAGATTTCCCCTTTGCTCCTTCAAAAAAACCAAAAAGTGTCTATTTTCGGGAACGTGGGGCTTTTGGGGAAGCTCAAAATAGTGTACTCTGTCAACACTGTTCCTTAAAAAATCCACACAAACACGGTCTGTGCAGGTTCACGGTTTCAAGATTCACTAAAACTTCCATTTTCTTCATTTAAAATAAGGTAATTTTTGTGTATTTTGGCCAAATTTAGGAAAAGTAATCAGATTTCAGGATAAAAGACTGATATTTAGTGTATTTTTACTACCTTTAAATGTCAAAACGTTATTTTTTTGAGCTCTTTTATGACCCAGTGAAGTGCTCAACCTCTTTTTTTCATCTGACGGACAAATCTGCATTTTATTTTCGCTCACCTTTCGCTGGGTTTGCAAACGCTGAGCCGGTTCGTGGTCATTTTCTGTTCTTTCTGGCTCTGGGAAAAGACAAATCAGTCAGAAACAAGAAGCAAAACGTCAATATCCAGATGAGGATTTGCAGTTTTTGCGACGCGTTTTCCTACCTTGCACTGTTCGTAGAGCATCGTTATCGCCGTGATGTCGTCCCCCGGCTGCAGTCGGGGTTTGGCGTGGTTCTGCTCCAGCGCCGGACTGTTCACGTACGGCCACGAGTCCATCGCGTCCACGCTGAAGTAACGGTTGTAGTTGAAGCTCTCACTCTGATAGACCAAACCCAGAGTCCTGGAGAAGAAGAAGAACACACAGATTTAATGACTCTACAGATGAGTTCAGTCAAGTGTTAACGGAGGAAACAGGGTCAGATTTTTGACATTCAAATGTCTCTTATTCAGAAACTAGAGGAACTATTGAAATAAGTAAAGTATCAGAATGTAGGAAAGAGTTACACTCCAACAGGGTCAAGTTAAACCTGTGAGATTCTTTCAAGTTCAAGACAAAAAATGTAAAAACTCATGTCGGTAACGGAGGGAATGAAATATGCAGCACTTTTTGGTCAATAAATCCAAACAGTGAAAACTCTTGGTTCTCACTTACATATCCTCAGTGTTGGGAAGGTGACTTTTAAAATGTAATCCCCTACAGATTACAGATTACACACCCCAACATGTAGTTTGTAACAGAATCCATTAAATGACTTAAAGTGAGTAATGTAATCTGAATACTTTGGATTACTTGATTTACTGCAGAGAAGCAAAGACGAGGAAATCTTCACATAAGAAGTTTTGTCTGATAAAAGAAAATAAAAAGTCCAGATTTTACTGAACCAAATTAAAAATATTATTGATAGAAGAAGAAGAAACACGTCCACACAGTGTGGTTTAGTCCTGGTTTAGTCCTGGTTTAGTCCTGGTTTAGTCCTGGTTTAGGTTTAGTCCTGGTTTTCTGGTTTAGTCCTGGTTTAGACCTGGTTTAGTCCTGGTTTTAGTCTGGTTTAGTGTCCAGCTTAGTCCTGGTTTAAAAAGAAAAAATCCTGGTTTAGTCCTGCTGTGTAAGTCCATTTAGTGTCAATGAGTGGAATTACTGAAAAAAAATAATAATAATAAAAATGTGAAAAACTGAAAATCCCTGAATACAGTTACTCATCATTTGTACTCTGATTACATAACTCTGGTACATGTAATCTGTTACTCCCCAACACTGCACATCCTTAACAAACTGGTTTGAATATTTGCTTCATATAGTTTTCTACCATATGGTACAAGATTAGGTTGAAAAACCTCTGACTTTTTGACTCATGAGATTTTTTATTAAGAAAGTTCATGGTAACGGAGGGAAAAGTAACGGAGGGAAAATTGTACAAACAAGTAGAAGGTGCAGGATTTTACATCATTTGTCACTTTTTTCTTCTGAAAACTTTAATATTACTTCAAAATGAAAGAAACTATTTCTATAAAATATGTCAGTCCTTCCAAGAACATTTTTTTATCATTTTAAATACTTTTTTTTGTTTTAAATCCTGTCCCTTCATCAACAGTTCAAAGATGGAATAACACAAGATATGATGAAATACAAACATTTATTTACATGATTTTCAGGTCTTTGAAATTTGGGAAATAATTTTTGTTCCATGTTTCATTCATGGTCTGTTTAAAACAGATGGAACTTTAGAACCAAAAATGAAACAGAAAAAAGGTCAACAGTTTGATAAACTCGAGTACATATGTATCTGTTCAATACTGTTTTATATCAGATGAATTAAATTTTTGGCCTTGTTGTTTACTTCTGCTTGACCAGGCCCAGTTGTGAAAGTTAATTAAAGAAAATGAGCTGAGTTGAAGTGAAAGAATGCAGCGGCTGGAGTGAGTGACAATCCCTTTTGGCTCACGCTGCTGCTCGTACTTGCCCTCGGAGCAAGTAGGGTTTCGATTGCAAAACAACCAGGAGCATCCCTCTTTCAACGACATCCTTCAAAAAAACGTGAGGACCTCCCAGTTTGTCGACCGCAGTGTCGACCGAACTACCGGCGCTTCTCCTCTCGCTTTCACAAAGACAGAGGCTCGGGTTTGTTTTAGGACTTTTCGTTGACACACTGCACTGCAAACACTCAAACCACAGACGGATTAACGACCAAAACCCCGACCTGCCAAGTCCTAGGAACCTTAAAAAGCACCTGCTCTTCATCCTTCCTCCTCAGCCCCTCTAAACTCCACGCAGAAACCATCAGAGAAAGAGGAAAAGGGGGAAAAGGGGGGCTCCCGGGTTTAAAGTTTCAACCATTATGTAATTTAATTCTCACCGGCAGTCGCTGGGCTCGACAAACCGAGAGAAGATTCGAGTGTCCTGGCGTCTTTTGTCTGAGGTGGCCCCCTAAGGTTAGTGACAACACAAACCGAAACAGCGTTCAACTAAAACCTTATGGATCGATTTCTAGTTTTTTTGTCAACCAGCTTCAATTCTCAGAGGCGTCCCGTTGCAAAAAAAACAAAAAACACAATCGTAGTTGAAAAATAAAACTGAAATGTGCTGATTTAAAGTCAAATTTCGCGATCTTAAAGCTGGACAGTGATTCATTTTCAAAGCTGACGTCGCAGTTGTGCTTTTTCTGCAAATACTTTGAATTTAATCTCACGTTTCATCGACAAAACTCAAGCATGATTAGTGTTTTTTTCAACAAACTCGGAAGCTCAAAGTCTACAGAGAGATTCAAAGCCCGAAAGCAAAACTTACTCAGTCTCTTTGGTCATGTCTCCACAAGTGTTTCTGTTCCTTCAGACGTCTGTCAGTGAGAGAAGTGTTGTGATTTTCCCCACAGTCTGGGCCCGTTTTTATTTCTGGCAGAAAGCGTGGCTCTCCCCCCTCCCCTCCCGCCTCCTGATTGGTCGAGAGCTTCTGGAAACAGGTGCCTCGTAGGACAGGTGTAGGAGAGTTAACCCTTCCCTCCCCGTGGAGAAACTCGCGATTTGCAAAACAAAAAACAGTCCGTCCCCCGTCCCGAGCCGAGCGTGTGATGAAGACGAGAGACTCTGAAGTGTGAGCAGAACCTTTTCAAATGTTAATCGACTTCGGTATCAATTCAGGTTTTGGTTCTTTGTGTCGAGGTAAAGATCAGTGTTTCTAATCTGCATTTATGTAAAACCCACTCAGACTAATGATGCACAAGTATTTTCCCTCAGGGCTCAGTAAAGTTTAAAGGACAAAAATACGTTTGGACAGTTCTTATCTTGGAAAAAATCTATATTTAAAAGGAAAATCTTCTTGTATTGACTGACAACTTTACTATTTTTTTTAAAATACACCAGAAAAAAACTGTGTCTAGGTAAATTAAAATGACTTAACTTAAGAATATTTGATTTTATTTGAGTTGATTCCATTTGAAAAGTACAAAAAGTCTTAATCATTTGACTTTTCAAGTGAAATTAGCTCAAATCTTGATAAAATTTTCTTAACTGAAGTCATTTTAACTTGACTAGATTTAGTTTTTTGCAGTGTGACATGCATCTGGTGAAATCAACAATTTGATTTATTCCTGTTGTGATATTGGTCTAAATATAAATACTTTTCATTAAAGAAGTGCATCATTTACTATAAAAATATTTAAAAAATCTCCAATTACTGATACTATGTTTTGAAAAAAATCTAAAGAAGATTAAATCCAATTCACATTTTTTTGTAAATATAAACTTTACACTGGAAAAAAAACTCCAAAACAAAACAACATCTAGGTAAATTAAAATGACTTAACTTAAGAATATTTGATTTTATTTGAGTTGATTCCATTTGAAAAGTACAAAAAGTCTTAATCTTTTGACTTTTCAAGTGAAATTAGCTCAAATCTTGATAAAATTTTGTTAATTGAACTCATTTTAACTTGACTAGATTTAGTTTTTTGCAGTGTGACATGCATCTGGTGAAATCAACAATTTGATTTATTCCTGTTGTGATATTGGTCTAAATATAAATAAGTTTCATTAAAGAAGTGCATCATTTACTATAAAAATATTTAAAAAATCACCAATTACTAAAAAAAATCTAAACATAATTAATTCCAATTAACTTTTTTAGAAAATTTAAACTTTACACTGGAAATAAAACAATCTCTTAGGTAAATTAAAATGACTTAAATTAAGAATATTTGACTTTATCTGACTCGATTCCACTTAAAAAGTACAAAAAGTCTTGTTCCACTGGCAGATAATTTGACTTGTCAAGTGAAATTTACTCAAATCATGATCAAACTTTCTTAATTCAAGTCATTTTAACATCACTAGATTTAGTTTTTTGCTGTGTACATGCATCCTAATCAACTATTTTATCTTATTTATTATTTTATATTAATTATATTATTCCTGTTGTGATATTGGTCTATAAAAATATATATATTTTATTAAAGAAGTGCATCATTTACTATAAAAAAAAAAATAATAATACAGAAAAATCTCCAATTACTGATACTATGTTTTGAAACAAATCTAAACCTGATTAAATTCAGTTCACATTTTTAGAAAATCTATACTTTACACTGGAAAAAACTATATCTAAGTTAGTTAAAAAATGACTTAAATTAAGAATATTTTACTTTATTTGAGTCGATTCAACTTGAAAAGTTCCATTTGCAGATAATTTGACTTGTCAAGTGAAATTGACTCAAATCATGATCAAACTTTCTTAACTCAAGTCTTGACTAGACTCAACTTGACTAGATTTAGTTTTTTGCAGTGTGACATGCATCTGGTGAAATCAACATTTGATTTATTCCTGTTGTGATATTGGTTTAAATATAAATACTTTTCATTAAAGAAGTGCATCATTTACTCCAAAAAATATTTTAAAAATCACCAATTACTAAAAAAAAAACCTAAACATGATTAAATCCAACTGACATGTTTTGAAAATATAAACTTTACACTGGAAAAAAAACAAACAAACAACAATATCTAGGTAAGTTATAATGACTTAAATTAAAAATATTTGACTTTATCTTAGGAGATTCAATTTGACAAGTCAAATTATCGACCAATGAAACAAGTGTTTTTCTTAATTCAAGCAACATTCAATTTTGGTTCTTATTTTAAGTGCAAAAAGTTGTTGTTTTTCTTATTTTAACTGTATTTTCATATTTTAAGTACAAAAGTCTTGCAGATAATTTTACTCGTCAATTGAAATTTACTCAAATCATGATAAAACTCTTCTTTTAGTTCAAGTCATCTTAACTTGACTTGAACAACAATTTGATTTATTCCTGTTGTGATATTGGTCTAAATATAAATACATTTTATTAAAGAAGTGCATCATTTACTATAAAATATTTTAAAAATCACCAGTTACTGAAAACAAAACTAAACATGATTAAATCCAGTTCACACTTTACACTGAAAAAAAAAAAACAAAAACTATATCTAGGTAAATTAAAATGACTTAAATTAAGAATATTTGACTTTATTTGAGGAGATTCAGTTTGACAAGTGTTTTTCTTAATTCAAGCAACATTCAGTTTCATTTATGCAAATGAAATTAAATGCAAAAAGTTGTTGTTTGTCTTATTTTTTAAGTGCAGCAAGATGTATTTTCTTATTTTAAGTACAAAAAGTCTTGCAGATCATTTTACTTTTCAAGTGAAATTTACTCAAATCATGATCAAACTTTCTTAATTCAAGTCACTTTAAACTTGACTAGATTTAGTTTTTTGCAGTGTTTATACTTTGTCTCCTACAGGGAAATGAAGAGACAGAAAGTTTTATTTTATACAGATTAAATGTAAAATAAACTAATCCAGACATTTAAATGACCGACCAGATCATCATCGCACATGAGGATCTGTTCTCAGTCGATTTACCTGGTAAAATATTAAATAATTAAATAAAAACCTGACAAGTTTCTATTGCTGATGTTTTCAACAGAAATAAAAAAAGCAAAGGCCGAGGTTTGAGTTTTAGTTTGACTCATCATCAGTCGATTCGTTCACTAAACGACTGCAGACCAACAATCCTAGTTTAGATCTGAGTTTCTCAATCTGTGCTGTCATTTTTTTTCTTTCTTTCTTTTGACTCCCTCTTGTTGTTTGTGCTTTTCCTCTGATCGCTTCATTTGCCTCTGATCTGATCTGCTCCTGTCCCAGAACCAAACGTCTTTGTGCCGTAAAAGTGGGTGGTCCAGATCACACAGCCTAAACACACAAACACACACATAAAAAACACACACACACACACAATAAAACACACACACACAATAAAAACACACACAATAAAACACACAATAAATACACACACAATAAAACACACAATAAACACACAATAAAAACACACACAATAAAATGTCCTCAAACCAGAAGTGTCTCTCCTCCAATCACGTCGTTTAAATCAGTGTCAAACCAGAAAGCAGCAGACATGGTATGTACCTGCACCTGCACCCGCCCACACAGCCCCGCCCACACAGCCCCGCCCACACAGCCCCGCCCACACAGTTTTCATTGCCCTTTATCCTACAAATTGAGGCTCGTTTTAATGAACCGGAAGCTTCTCTGTGTCTTGTCGTCTCCGGGTGGAGAGTCTCTGCCTCAAGTGGAGGAGTTCAAGTCTGTCGGGTTGTTCTCGGAGTTGAGGACTTGATTGACAGGGTGACAGAGTGAGGGTTGAGATTGACAGTGACAGTGGCGAGAGATGACAGTGACAGGTGACGTGAGAGACAGTGGACAGTGGCGTGAGATTGACAGGTGACAGTGTGACAGCGTGGACAGCGTGACAGGTGGACAGGTGCGGAGGTGTGACAGGTGGACAGGTGAGCGTGAGATTGACAGGTGGACAGGTGCAGCGTGAGTGACAGTGACAGCGTGAGATTGACAGGTGACAGGTGCAGCGTGAGATTGACAGGTGGACAGGTGCAGCGTGAGACTGACAGGTGGACAGGTGCAGCGTGAGATTGACAGGTGGACAGGTGCAGCGTGAGATTGACAGGTGGACAGGTGCAGCGTGAGATTGACAGGTGGACAGGTGCAGCGTGAGATTGACAGGTGGACAGGTGCAGCGTGAGATTGACAGGTGGACAGGTGCAGCGTCTGCAGTGATGCGGTCGCTGTATCGGTCGTTGTGGTGAAGAGGAGCTGAGCCCAAAGGTGAAGCTCTCGATTTACTGTCAGTCTTCGTTCCTCCTCTCACCTCTGGTCATGACTCTGGGTAATGACTGGAAGAAGAAGGTCACAGATACAAGCGCTCGAAATGAGTTTCCTCCGCAGGGCGTCTGGGCGTCTCCCTTAGAGACAGAGTGAGGAGCTCGGAGTAGAGCCGCTGCTCCTCCACATGGAGAGGAGCAGTTGAGGCTCAAGCGTCTGTTCTGGACGTGTCCCTCAGGAGGTAAGTAAGTCTTTCAGTAAGTTTTCATTCATATAACGCTTTTCACAGACTTTTTTTTGTCCCCAAAGACACTTTACAGATCATGATTCAGCATTAATCATTCACTCTACACCTGGTGATGGAAACTACTGTTGTAGCCACAGCTGCCCTGGGACAGACTGACAGATACACAGCTGCCATGCACACACACACACACACAACACACACACACACACACACACACACACAGACACACACACACACACACACGCACACGCACACCACACACACACACGACACACAGACACACACACACACACACACACACACACACACACACACACACACACACACACACACACACACACACGCACACACACACACACACACACACACACACACACACACGCACACGCACACACACACACACAGACACACACACACACACACACACACACACACACACACACAC